TCTTGAATGTCCTTACTTCTGAAAGAGGCTAGAACGTCATTTTGATCTCTACACGTCGCAGGAAGGTGTCCGCGAAACAATCCGTGATTGTGACACATTCTTTTTTTGCAGCAGCTATGTTATCCCGCATATTTCAAGTTGAAATGTTTTATCATTTTTATGCAATAGCATTCTTGAGCTCCTTTACCCAGTTTTCACGATACGCTCTTTGGTGTCGAATGCATCGTGCGAATGCGGGCCACGTCTATGCTCCGCGCGTACGCACTGCGCGTAAACGCCGCGAGTGTGTGTCCCGCGTAGGTGGAGAACGACGTCCACCTACGAAGGACGTCAGCATACGCAGGATGTCCGCATGGGCATGATGTCGGCATAGGTACGACGTCCGAAGGCGCCACGCATATGCCGATGTCATCCTCGACGCCGTCCTAGAGGTCGCCATTGAGGTCGTCCTAGAGGTTGTCCTAGACGTTGTCCTTGGGGTCGTCCAAGAAGTCGTCGTAGAGGTCATTCTAGACGACGTCTTTGACGTCATTCCTATGACGTCGTCACAACGTAGTCCGCGCCGTCGCCCTTGAGGTGGTCTTCAAGGTCGTCCTAAAGGTTGTCCTTAAATTTGTCTTGGAGGTCGTCCTAAAGGTTGTCCTTAAATTCGCCCTGGAGGTCGTCCTAAAGGTTCTTCTAGACGTCGTCTTAAACATTGTACTTGAGGTAGTCCTAGAGGTCGTCCTTGAGATCCCACTAGAGGTCGTTCTAGAGGTCGCATTTGATGTCGTCCTCTAAAACATCGTTCTCGACGCCGTCCTAAGCGACGTCGTTGAGGTCGTTTTTGAGATCGCCCGATACGTCATCCTAGAGGTTGTCCTAGACGTTGTCTTTGACGTTTCCCTCTAGGACGTCGTCCTTCCAGAAGATAGACACCGTCCCGCTTGCAAAGAGGGGCCGTAAGAACACAATCACATTAGCGACCACCCTCGTTGTCGTCCTAGAGGTCGTCCTACACGTCGTCCTCGACGTCGTCCTAGCAAGCAGATAAACCCGCGTAACACACTTAACATACTTCTTCTGCCACTGCCATTCCATTAATCGGGTAATTGTTAGAGTCAATACACCTGCCAGTGGTCACGTGTTTTACCTGCCCATTTTGTTTCGTTTAGTGGTATATGTCGTTATCGTGCGTCCTCTCGGGATCCCCAGCCCCTAGCAGTCCCTTCCGGATTGTCCAGCGTGTGGGCCGCTGGACATTTCGGCTAGAAGAGCCTCGTGCGGGTCTTATTAAAGTGCGGCGGTCACATCAGCACAGAACTTCCCTTCTGACCACCATCAAAACTAATCGACCAGGGTTATGGCGTAGCGGCATGATGGTTCTGCACGCTCAAAAGGGCCCACGATGTCGATTTCTACCTTCGGTCATGGCGGATCAGCGAAACGCACTGTTTGATGCGAAGTGGAAAAGGTATTTGCGCTTTTGTCGGACGCTTGACAGATGTCACAGACATGAATGACATTCTCCACTTGAGCGTTCATTTTCGGATACCGAAGCTGACACCACATTCGACACGTCCGTCATGATGCTTTAAGAAAGGCCCGCAAAGCGCCTCCCGCATTTCGCTTAATATTTCAAAAGCTTTCACTTCGATTTGCTCACAAATGTTTTGAAAACAAAAACAGAAAGCGGGTTGTTCTAAAAACACACACCCTGTTTTTTATGTTTTTAGTAGCTCTATTTGCATTAGAACTGACGCGATTGCCATCGATTCATAGTATTATTTGCCGTTACGTCAGTAAAAACAAACAGCTCCTCCAGTTTCTAGTAAACCCTACACCGGTTTCCGCGGTAGGAACATATCGGCGACTACGTAGATACTTTCACCCTTCGAGTCTTGGCTCTGGACGTCTTTCAAACGGGTGACAGGCGCCAATATCGAGATTTCTCCAAGGCGTCAAAGTGGGCAGAGCAGTGGTAAATGCGTTGTCAAGATACGCTCCTCGCTTCCTGTACGTTACTTTCATATTTATTTTTTCTCAAATGTCTAACCTAGTGATCCTGACCACCAACGAGAAGCCTCCTGCACCGCGCTTACACGGCGACGTGAGGATCCCGAGGCAGTGTATACAGAGGACGTAAGCAGAATATTTAAAGAACTACTGTAATGTCGGCTGGTTTTACTGAACGGAAACATCTTATTTCTCAGTGCATAAAAAATACTTAGACTGCTACTCCAGATAACTAATGCGTACGTCAAAAGAGCCGCCACGCCACGCAAAAACTTAACAAACAAGAGTTATTTCTATGCAAAGGAAGTACTCCCGTCATTGTATAACAACGTTCTCAACCAACAGCTGTTCAATGGATCTAGCGGTTTCAACGCATGCCGCACGCCATCCGGTTGTAATGGAGTGTGACCGCATAAAATACGCACCGGACGTCGATGGCAATAACCAAGAGCTGCGTTTTATCGCGTGCGCAGAACGGATATAAAACGTATAAAAAATATGACACGTGTGTCGAATTTCCAGCCCTTTGAATTGAAGTATTTACAATCTCATAAGCAATAGCATTTCTTGACATTCCTGGAAAATGTCAACAATCTACTGCACAAAATATTTTGTTAAGTCCTCATAAAGTTTTTCGTCTTCCCTCCACGCGTGCGTGACGCCGCCCTCTCTATAGCGCACGGGAGGCAGATGGCAGTTCACAGGATAGGTCGTGCAACCTCGTGCTCTGCTCACGCACACTCTCAGCGGGGTTGACGCGCCTGCAGAGAGACTACAGTCCGCGCAATGCATAACGGCAGCGGTTTCATTTTGAAACTGTCTGTGGTATCGCTAACTTTATGCAGCCCTTCATCGCTCTCAAGGTTTAAAATATAAACTTTGTCATTGTAAATTAGGGTGCTGTTCCATCAAGCACCTTAATATGTAAATTGATGAAAATAAAAATGTTCTGGTGCAGTGCGGGGAAAAAAGACAGTGTCTGCCTCAAACAGTATTAGCTGTGGTTTCAGAAGTTACGATATCAAATAATTATTTATAGCAAAATTTTTTTTTCATTCACAAATTTTTGGAACCATCAGATTTTGCGTTGGTGTTGTTTGTCTAAAACAAATACCCCCAAAATTCATACCATATATGTATCATTGTTTAGTGATAACTGGTCAAAATGAAATGAGTACGTTTCATTTGTTGTGTATACGGGGGAGCGATTAAACGTTTTTTCATTATTTTCGTGTTCATGCTTAGTGGCGATTTTGTGTCTGTGTACGTGAGAGCATAAAGTTGTACTTGTTGGTTGCAAACTGGATATAAAGTTCAGTCCCAGGAAGTTTAAAACGATATCGGACACCGCGATGATTGCCAGAACCAACTAGCTAGCATTTTCTTAAGTGTTTGACCAAAAAGAGGGATGCAACCACCAAGATTGCCCAGACTTAGGACACTCAATAAAAATGGGTGCAAGCATTAGGATTTACTGCATTAAGGATTAAAATTGCTTGAATATTCTGCGGTTCTGTATACTAGCACTCATTCTAAAATATCGAAATCAGATACATACACTGATTTAAGTATGATTGTATGTTTTAAAGCGACCTGACTGTATTGCGAAAACAGATTTTTAATCATGTTTTTTTAATGAGATTGTTTTACTTTTTTTTTAAACTTTACCTGGCGTAAACCTTTGTGGCATATCAAGTATCTTCGAAGAGTGCTAAGAATCAGTAACGAAATAAATTATTATCAGCCTTTTCTTAGTCAAAAGTGTGTGAGGTGATTAATATATCTTCACACTAATGAAATATCGTAAGCTGAAGAAATACTAAGTGCCAGTAAATTAGTAATGGGATTTATTATTAATGCCATGTATGTGAAGTGTCGTTAGGATATAATTCAAAATATTAATAATACGTATGAGGCAACTAGACCAATTAGGTCGTCTTATTAATACAAAGTTCATTTATAACGAATAGTAACTTGCGTTTTAAGAACAACCCAACATCCAACTTCAGGCTTTACAGTTTGAGACTCATATTTCGCATGATACCATGAAAGATATATGAAGTCAAAAGGCAACGAATATATATGTCCAAAAAAAGAAACTGCAACAACAGCCACACTTTGAAATGCCAGCTCAAACTGGGAACAGCTTACTTAGTAAAAACTGTAACCTAAGTAAAAACGACCTCCTTACGTTACGAACCGTAAGATAATACGTTAGTGATGTTTGCTTAAACCAATATCAGAGAATGCATAACATAACATAATATAACTCTCCTTTGCAGGAAGCTATAACTAGAAAGCAAGAAATTAAAAAAAGATTACACCGGAATTCACTTGCTGCTTCAAAATTTCAGCATCTCAGGAACCATGCAATGCGTACCGAAACGAAACAAACAGCTTGATAAACGAGCAATGCTATACGATATACCTTCTCAGATATTTTCAGAGGCCGGTATGAAGGAGGTTTTTTCTATAATGTATATCGAGGTGACCCAGTTTTTTAAATGAAAATACAGAACACTTAAACATGTAAACCGTAAACGAGAGAGGATATCATTATTTTTTTGTTTTAACGTGTATTTTTAGTTCTCGTGAATTTCCACTAATTCCAGTATTTTTGGTTAATCTTTCCATAGCACGCTCAAACTCCCGCACACAAAATCAGACTTTTGTGCAGTTTATTGGATTTTTTCCTCTCGTGTGTGTAAGAATTTACGACATCCCCCGTGTGCCTTGTGATGAACATGTCCCATTATATTTTGACGAGAGTTAACGACATCCTCCGTGCGCCTTGCGATAAACTTTCCCATTCTATTTTGACGAGAGTTAACGACATCCTAGTTCTCTTCTGTAGCACTATATTGTTTCTAGGAATCACTCTTCCGCTCTGAATTGCCCACGTGTTTGTAAAAAGAGCACATGTGCATTACCTTCCTGTCGTAGCACACATCGTTCCTGCCATTTAAACACGGACTGTGCATCATTTCATAGACCAGGTTCTCAGCTTCTACAAAATCGACCAACAAGCGTAAGCAAAGAAAAGAGCACAGGTGCCTCTATGAATTTATATTGAGTTAATGACGATTTCTTGTGGCAACATTATTTTATATTGTGGTTGGGTTCTTTTTGACATCTGCTTTTAAACTCATGAACCAAGCCTGTTGTAAATCTTTATGCAAATATTAACGCTATAAAACGGAAAAATGTATACAGCTTTTATTTTTTCATTACAAAAATAAACTTCAAATTGCCCAACGCTCATACCCCGCCCAAAGGTAGCTCTAGCAGTTCAAACGAGATGCCAAAGTTTTAGAACGAAGTTATCGTTTTCAAAGGTTATAGGTTATTTTGGAAACTTTCAATAGAACTATGGGACCCGTTTTTGCCCATTTTAGCTAACAGGCGCCATAGATCTCCAGCTATTAAAAATATATATCGATAGCTATTTTCCCCTTCGCAATTTATGGAAAATCGCTTAAACGTTTTAATAAAATAGTGGCGAGTGCTGAAAATTTGGCATTGGTTTAAACCTCTAGCGCTTCCTCGTAGTGGAGAATAAGCGTTCGGCAATAGATAGCTTGAATTTGAGGCGAAAAATTAAAATAAACTCAAATCTATTACTTACGCTTTCTTTATGTGTTTAGCTTTTAAGGCGGGTTATTGTTCCGGACAGTTTTTAAACATTATTCGGGCGTAGTATGCTTAGCAAATTGCATAATATGTAAACTCCTTCAACCGTTTAAACTGACAAGTTAATTGCCTTTGTGAAGTGTATGAAAAGTATGAATTGTATCGTTTGGGTTCACATATGAGCAGGCTACGTTTTGCGATTGGAAGCGCCACGGTGCATGCTTCCCTTCGCTCCCTCTTTCATAAGAATATTTCAGAATTATAGGACACGGAGTCGTCGTTCGTAAAAACCACTTATTCATTATCGTCCGATATACGTATGCGATCCACTAAAACTGCAACCAATAAACTGGGAAATCAAGGTTTTTAGATTACGCAAGAAAAATATTATGAGTAATTATCAGGGCAGAAAATATGTTTGGGGTATATCTTTGAGCTGGTTGACTGATTGATAATGGCCCTACTATTTCACGGTTAAAAAAGGGGGTCATTATTTTCTAGCTTTATTGGCATATAAATATTTTCCGTACATAATACTTACATGCGTATAGCTTACATTCAAAACCTGCACAATAAACACCCTTCATATACTGGGTATGTATGTACAATCTGGAAGATGTCCAATCCCAATATGGTCATTGTCCAGAGTTTTCTTTTAAATCTTTTTAGGCAGGTGTACCTTCACACAAGTGTCTCGCTTCAATCCCGACATGGCCGATTCGTCCAATGCTGCCCCGAACGATTCGCAACGATTAATACCTGCATCAATGCCAGACTCTTACACTCAAAGGAACACATTCCAAAGAAAAATGAACATTACGGCCCTAGAGTTCTTCCAGCCGACACTCGCTCACGGGCCCAACTTAAATCAGCAGTTCTTGGACGTGGGGTGTGGAACGGGTGACTTCACCAAGACCGAGCTCTTGCCCCGCTGCCAGCCCTGCCAGCGCATCGTTGCCACAGACACAATCCTCAAGATGATCGAGTACGCCAGGAAAAATTTCGCCCATCCGCAGATCGCCTACGAGGAGCACGACATCCGAGGTGATGTGTCGGGACTCATAGCGAAGTACGGCCAGTTCGATCGAGTCTACTCCTTCTATGCCCTGAACTGGGTACAAGACCAGACCACTGCACTTCGGAACATCGGCAACCTCATGAAAGACGACGGTGATTGCGTTCTCGTGTTTGCGGCGCGAACGGCTGTGCGCAAAATTTGGAAGAGGCTTGTCGAGATGGATCGCTGGAAGCAGTATGATCAGGTACGTTGCCATGAGAAAGTGGTATGTTTGATGTTTGAACTTTTATATATCTCAGTCAAGCCGCCTCAGTGATTCCAAGGCAAAGCGCAGGCCTAGATATCCCCAGCTCGCGGGTTAGAATCTTTTCGGATGGGCCCGCAATCTAACAAAGGCTCATTGCTGAAAAGGCGCCGTAACTGAAAATTGAATCGCACGAAAACAACTACCCTCATGTAGTCGAAATTAATATTCAATTCTTCGCTGGTGCGTGCCGGATACCCTTAGGTGGCTTGGCACGTAAAATCCACAAACGTGGCTTATATCATAATGACACATTCAATCAATGCTATAGATACCCTTTGTGTATCAGACTCAAGAAATTAGCCGAATGTGTATGGGTATTAACACCAAGGAAAGAACGCAACGGCTTAAAATGTGAAGCGTACATTTCGCGACAAAAACGCCATGCCTCTGCAATGCGGCACGATGACGTAAGATCCTCGGCAGAGAAGCTGAGAAAATACTCGTGCGGTACAAACGATTGCTCATTTGGCGGGAGATCACGTTGCTCTGGGAAATGTTTTGTCTTTAATAGCTTCCACATTGAGATAGGTAAATTGATATTGACCAGTAGTGGCGTCGAGACTAGAAACCTCTGAATTCGACTGCTAACGCCCACGCCCCTCCCGCCAACATTTCGTTTGTTTAAACGACGAGGAGGGCGTTGCGTCGGCAGGTGACGTCACGTAAAAGCGTCCGCATATTTCTACTTTGTGCAGATATCGCAACAAGGCAACACCACCTAGGCAGAAGGCCGACGTGCTAGACTTTCTACGCCAAGTAAAGCGGCGACTGGGGGGCACAGACTGGAGACGATCACTGCCTCAGTTTTCGGTTAGCACTCGTGTTCTCTATGATTGAACCCGATTGCTAGTCGACGCAGCACTCGCGTCTAACCTGTGTCCCTGTTTGTTCTTTTGCAAGTAACGTGGCAAATCCCGTACTAGGACCTTCGGCACATTAATACGTTTGCCCATGTTCCAGGGGAAATTAACCACCCGTCGGATGACGCAATGTAACATGCTATTCGTGTCAGTCTCGTCAAAATATTAGTCACTGGAGCGAATCAGCCATCTGCGTTAAGTCCTTATTCTGACATATTTTCGTTCATGATACAACCACTAAATCATGGCGAAAGAAGTCCAGTACGCAATTTGTCTCGTAACAGCATCGCCTCATTGTGTACAATAAAGTCCGTCTGCCATGGTTACCACGTGTGAACACACGCGCAGGCGAACGAAGCGTCTGAAGCCAGCTCAAACCGCGCCAGCCGTCTGCTACAAACGGCGCCCGATTTCCGGTTTCAGCATCGACCTACGCAACAGCGCATCCGACTTCGGCTAGCATTACGGCGTCCACGTTAGCAAACAACACTCGGAAGATGGCGTCTTCCGTTACTGGCTTTAGACGCTGCGTGCGCGCATTCCACCATAAAGAAGACGCTTATTTGTCACGGTGGCATTGACCTTTGCAGACGACCTCAATCGCGCGGAAGGATATAGCAGGGTGGCGAGATCAGGCGCATACTTGGGTTCTTTTTTGAAGGTTTTTAATGGGCAGACCGTGAACAAAATGTGTTCAAAATATGGAGTTATAGCAGATGGCTGATTTTCTCCCCCGCCTAATATTTTGACGACCCTTACAGGAAGTGTATGTGTTCAGCGGGTAATTAGGACGGTTAGATTCCTAATGAGCGTTTTGACAAAGTATAGTTGATAACAGAAAATTAAATATACATAGCGCGATGTTTCTTTCACGGGAACATGGGGCTGAACTACCGATTTTTACGACCTTTTCTTTACCTGGTGTTGGGAAATGCCAAAGAACAAACAGAAAGACGGAAATCGCCACTTGATTACACTTTTTCGTCCGCCAAAGAAAAAACAAACAATTCATACTGTAGGGTGTAATTTCCGGACCCTCTCCTTCCTGGTAAGGACGAGCGAAGAGCGCGATCGGAAGAAAAGATAAGGATATTGGAAATACCTTTCTGCGAGCCGAAAGAGCTGCCAGCGCGTCGGCTTTCAACTTTCTTCTAGACACTTGATATATCATGTCATTTATCAACAAACACACGCCTGTCCACGTCGGTCGTGTTTTCTACCTGCGACTGCCCATCTCGTTCGTCTTTTCTATTTGTTCTCGTCTCTTTCGCGCATTTTAATATTTAGATATTAACCTTTAGTGTAAAAAGTATATTTTTTTACAATATATATATGAGATTACTGCCCAGTTAAATATATAATTTTGCTATTCACAAAACCTTTCCAATTTCTAACACAGTACTCATGGAACCATTCTGTTCTGTTTGAAAAAGACTGCTCTGTATAAAATGGTGGAGTGAGTCTCGGTGCTGGTCTTGCTCAATGGCCGTCCTCCTGAATGACACCGTACAATGTACGTCTGTTCAAACAATGTCTACACTCGTGTAGCCTGCTCGTACAAAACGACATATACTTGTAGGGTCAACGACTAAACGCCGTTGTGTCCCAGCCAGCCCTCTCTCTACGTTTCATCTTCCCCAGCGCTCCCCGTCCCAACCTTGCTTGGAACTCGAGTGCCGCCATCACTTGTTCACAAACACTACACCCTCCCCCTCTCCGTAAAATAAGCTGGTATACTGCTGCACAATTAACCTATGTACAAATTGAGGTTCAGTTATCGAAACCCCGTCTTTTGAGAGGTCTTAAAATTCGGCCCAACCGCGTGGGGGAGCTCTCCAGGAGATATCATAGATTTATGTGTGGCACCGCACGCTGACTTGTCGACAAGTCTTTCTCCGGCTGCGATGTTTGTCTGGAGGTCTCGTGGGGAATTATCTGACTACGACTTTTTTTCAGGGTTCCAGAACTTGTTTGGTCATGCCGGCATTAACCTGGGCGTTCCCGCATGACCGACGATTGTGCCTGATCTGCGCAATTCTGGAATCGAAACCGGATCGTCTTCGTGCCTCTGGTTTTGTTCTTTAGCGTTTGTCATAGTTGCGCTTCTGCTTCAGACTCTGTCTCTAAGCTTTTCTTTTTCACGCTGACTGGTTGGCGGTTCTTGGCTTGAGCTGCCCAGGATTCATTGGGAGTCTACTGCAGAGTCTCCTCCCATCGGCAGTTGGGCAGAAGAGACTTTTATGTCGTGCCGGTTTAAGGTAGATGGGAAGGGCTCAGTACGCATCTCCGTTCTTTTTCCCGAAATCTTTACAGCCCTTCGTTCAACAATTCGCGCTGGTTTGCCGGTATCTTGGACTCATGCTGGCTTATTGAAACCCCTAGTTCTGGCTGAAATCTTTGAACTTTGTGGTAGAAAACTGCAGATTGTTGTCCGAAACTAAGATTTACACGTTGGACGAATATCCCCTTAATTCGCTCGATCGCAGCCGTAGTTGAAGTTGATGATGAAAACATTGCAACATCGCGATACCTTGGACGGTATTCGACCTGCAGAAGATAGTCGACACCATAGATCTGAAACAGGTCAGAGGCGACCTTCTGCCAGAGAAATTCTGGCGTCTCAGACTTGGGTCTTTTACATTGCACACTTTGCTCGTTTGGCAACACTGTCTGCTAGCGAGCCCGTAAATCCCGGCCACCAGGCAGATTGTCGTGTGCGAGCACGACAGGGCACAACCCTTTAATTACCCTCATTAATCCGCAAGAGCATCTCTGCTCGAAGACACATGGGAATGATCAGCCGGGATCCCGTGAACCGTAAGCTTTGGCACCCTTTTATATCGCGTTGTTCACAGTAGAAGTGTTTAATGTTCAATGAAAGTTGAATTATCAAAGGCCAGCCCTCTTCGCAGTACTTGAAAAAGATTTCGCAGTCTTGATTTTTCTTCTAAAGTTTCCGAATCCTTCCCTGAAGGTCCTCTGGCGCAGGCAACGGGCTGACTGCCCCTAAAACAAATGACGAAACCTCAGTAGGGTAAGCATGTCTTCAGATGAATCATCTCCACAGTGGGTTCTGACAGCATGTCGATTGTTGCCATATTTTTGCCTGGGATGTATTCTACGGATATAGGTTAAAGCGGAGTCGAAACCGGTGCACACTTGGGGGCAGCAAGTTCAAAATGTGCTCTCCTAGAAACAGGACTAGGGGTTTATGATCTGTTTGCAGAACGAACCCCAAACTTCGAATGCACTCGTCGAATCGATCAGATGCCAATGTCAGTGTGAGGGCGTCCTTCTCAGTTTGTGCCTAGCGCTGCTCCATCGGTGTTAGAGATTGAGAAGAGAACGCGGCAGCGCGGAGTCCAGCATCTCGTTGTTCATGAAGGAGCACCGCTCCCAGGCCATAATATCAGGAGTCGGCCGAGTCGGTTGTACGATAGGAACTATCATACTTTGCCAGGCCTCCGACGTGATTATTTGCTTAACCTTTTCAAGGGCTCATTCTTGATTCAATCCACACGTCCACTCATCCATTCAATCCACACATCCTCGTTGTTCTTCTGAAGAACCCCACGGACTGGTGCGGTCACTTGTAATAGAGTGGGCAAAAACCATGCAACGTGATTGACCATTCCCGAAACTCGACTGAGGTTTGATATACATCCGTTGGGGAAGGAAGAAGCTTGATTGGTTTCACTTTGTGTGGACCTGCGTATATGCTATATTTGTCGAGGACCACTCCTAGAAACGACACCTTCGTGACGATCAGTTGACTCTTCTCTGAATTTAGGTTCCCACCAAACTGAACCAGGCACTGCTAGGCTGCTCTCAGTCGGTTGTCCTGTTCTTCTCGTGTGGTTTTGTAGATCAAGGCGTCATACATAATGTGCTGGGTTCCTCTTGAAGTCCATCCAGGATGATGTCCATCCAAGACTCCATACGGCAGTCTTTTGTAACTGCACCGCACGAGCGACGGCATAAACATGGTCCTTTCTTGTGGGTCGGGGGACAGGACAATCTGGTGAGACCAAGAGCTTGCTTCTAGCGTAGAGAAAAACTTGGACCAGATAATGTTCGCCAAAATTATCTTCATGGTAGGCACGATGCCGCGCTCTCGACACACAAACACGTTCAGTTGCGTAAGGTTTACGCAAAGTCTGATGTCTCCCGACGGCCTCGAGTCACTTAAGGTCTTTCTTGACTGCAGGTCTCAAAGGGAACGGGATCGAACGTGGTATGTTTACTGCAAACGGATCTGCGTCAGGTTTGAGCTGAATTCTGTGTTACCCTTGAATTGTTTCGAAACCTAGGAACACCCCCTGACACTTACTTTGGTTGTCCGGATTACTGCAAGCGACGTCGTTGAAAATAACAACAAAAAAACGCACCCTCAACAGGGGCTTAATTGCCGGCATACCGAGCAGCGGAATTTGGAGATCTTGAACGCCGTATATCATCTCCTCTGAAACCTTGCATTCTTATTCGACCTTAGTCTCGAAATACCTCAGTGCGTCCAGCCTTCTCTTCGTTCCCTTCAAACCTTCGGCTTGCAAAAGGGTTGGCAACTCGCCAGCGAAGTCTTCACCGACGACGGTGACGTCATCACCTGAGTCGATCTTTGCACGCATTTGGTTTTCGTTGACTGCAACAACGGCAAAACGGGCGTTCGGTCCGCGTTTGCAGACGCTTCCGAGGAAGAAGCCACTGGTGGGCGCGTGCACGGCCGCGACGTTCGTCCTACCCGAGTACGAATGAGCGCCGCGTCACTATCTCGCGCAATGCCCAACTTGCTGGCCCTTTTTACACACTTTGCCTCTTTCCGGGCAGTTGCGCTGCTGGTCGGAGCTGTACCCACAATTCTCGTACCCCGACGGCTTGACTTCGGACTTTGAACCACGTGCCTTTCCTGTTGTGAGTAGGCTGAGCTACAGCATCTGCATTCAATTGCGCGTTCTCGCCGCGCAGAGAATGCTCGGAATTCACCAGGTCTCCTTGTTGCCGTTTAACGGTTTCTCGGAGTCTGGATTTCGACAAATCCGTCTGAAATGTAAAATCTGCGGCCATTTGAAGCGATTGGAAGAGATTCCTGTCCGGAAGTCCCACAATAAACCGACCGCGGATCAATCTTTCTTTCAGGTTGACGAAAAGGCACCTCTCCGCGAGTGTGCGTAACTCGATGACCAATTGGTCCGCCGTCTAGTCGGCTCTCCGTACCTTCCAGTTGAAACAAGCGCTCTCACACACCACGTCCTTCTAATGTACAATGTGAGCGTTGAACCGCGTCTTCATTTGCGCGTTGTTCTTAGACTCGGCCTCGGTGAGATTAAAGTTCTTGAGGATTTCTCTAGCTTTTCTTCCTATGCAGTCTAGAAGGGTCGTGACTTAAACCGCTTAGGCACTCTCACCGAGTCCAGACGCGAGCATGTGATCTTCGAATCCGTCCAGCCAAGGCGGCCACTGGGCGACGTTGTCTAAGTTTAAAGGGGGTGGTCTGGATGCTCATGGTTACTGTTGGGGTGGATGCGACGGACTCCTTCTGGTCAGACATGCCTTTCGGCAACGGGACTGTGAAGTGTGTCCGTCACATCTGAAAAAAGTAGGATAAACGACCGCACACCGTTGTGTCTATGCAAGCACTCTCCGTGCGTTTATTCATCCCTAGCGCCCCCATCCCCAACTCGCTCAGAACTCGAGCGCCAATATCACTTGTTTTCTAACACTACAATACTAATCTCAAGCAAACATTATACGCACGCAATGGTTGCAGAAAATAATTACAAAAGGAAGCGTTTAATTCATAAAACTTGATAACCCCACTTACTCGCAGCCATCCAAAAGCTTCATTGCGAAGACCCAAGACCTAGAAGACCGCGCGGCTCTAATGTCGTACATGTACGAAACCCTGAAGAACGCCAACCTGAATCCCCTCAGCTGCGAAGTGCTAACTTCGGTGCACAGCGCCGAGATCTCAGACCGCACAATCGGTGAGTTCCCGCGCATTTGTGGCGTCACCCTTTCTCATAAAACAAATGTGCCAAAGAAAGACAAAGATGGTGGGGAACCGCAGATTGAATAAATGGACACAGAGCGCGACTCTACTGCTTGCTATACAATTTCTGATGTGCAAAAGCTTGCAACGTACAAGTAACACGCTAGTACCTAATCTCTTTGAAGAGAGGCTGAATTGATTATATCGAAAAATGAGTTGAAAATACTTAGACTTGCTGATTTGTGGGCGAAATGGAGGTTTTTAATGTGTCATTCAACAATATATTGGGTTGCAATAGTTCCGGCTTTGCAAAAGTTTACTGGAACTATTAGGACCCAAATATTCCCGTGCGTGAAACCAGTCACCAAGAGGCTTTTTTGTCGGTTCGTGCTTTCAATGACAAAAATGTACGTCTTTTTGCACTTTCTTCTTCTCAAAATTCGATGACGAAGTTGTGAAGCTCGTATTGTTGGTGTTGCCAACAAATCTATCACCAGGATGCTTTCATCAGGCTTTTGGATCCTCGCGGGGACAACTTTTAACGTTCGAAATTCAGATTATACTGTGGACACGAGCGCTCCGTTAGCATTTATTCTGGTCTCTTGACAATCGATGCCTTGATATGCATCCGAGTAGTGGCTTGCGCCCCATTGCTGCGATGACGTGAAGAAGCTAATCTTAAAAAGGTGTGAAACTGCGCATCTGCCATGTGTGCTTTGCCAACCCCAGCGAGTGGCTATATTAAACATTGGTAGCATTTAATCGGCTGCAGATGATGTGGCCGATCGTTCTATCTAGTTGTAGCTGCGAGTTGAGAGTATAAACGCTGCTTGTGGTCTTCGATTTTTTTTTTCTGCGACTGCAATGGAGTGTGGAAAACAAACACCGTGCGGTTCATAGACCATGAATAAGAGTAATAATTGTAGGTTTTATTCACTGAAAGTAAAAACCTGTAGCATCGACCCTTTCAGGTCGAGCTGAACGCTTTGAGCGCGATTGATATGCACGCTCTCACGTAAAGTGAAATCGTATTTCCAGTTACTACGCTCGCTCCTGTTGCGTCGCTTCGCTGGCGGTTTTAAAATTGCTATAATGCGTGAGAAACATATTGTCTGTCGTCCCTGAAACTTTATGTCGGCGCAGCTTTAATACCCATTTATAAATGTTATTACCTTCGCTCAGAAGTGGCACTTTACAACACTGAGCTCGTTTACCCTTACGCTGATACTGCAGCCTTAAGTACAAGCACGAGCTTGCCCGCGCTCCTGCCTTTGAGACATGCATTTCTAGTGCGAACGCTCGTTCTGCCGAAGAACGCGTCAAAGCAGCTACCTCAAGCTGTAGCGCTTGTGGCATTGGCTGTAGTATCATCTTAAAGGCCGGTTCTCATATGCAGCGAAGCGCTGATATAGCGCTCCTCACGTGTCGTCAGCTACTTATCGTCTGCCATGAGCAACAGTTTTGGCGGTGCGATACAAAGCTGGTGAACGCTGCCGTCAGCACGCGCTTAGCGCGAGGTTAGCGCTATGCTTGTAGCGCTCCGCTGCATGTGTGAACAGGCCTTAAATGTGAACTGACTATAAATAGTCGCAGATGTAAAAATTTTAATTGTATCAAACAGCTTGTTCCCCAAGAATAATGCATCCATGGAGACTTTATGTGCGGAAAGCTCGAGAACGAAAAATCCGCTCTCTGCCGGCGTTCGAATTTCACGAGTACAGTGGTCCATGCTACACAATGGATCCTTTTCAAAAGTTAGCGCAAACGCACTTTCGCCGTTGCTCGTTTACGTACTCTGAGCTTATACTGGACACGAGGGCTGCGTCAGTGTTCGGCATAAACTCGGCTCAGCTCGTATTGAAAGCGAGCACTTTGTCAGCGTTCGACAAAGACTCGGGTTCAATCATGCGTTTCGTGCTCAAGCAATGGCGAGCGCCAATGATGTTAATGTAATAAATGCAATGGTGTCGGCAAGCCGGATAGTATCAACCATAATAATCTCTGGAGAAGAGAACCAAGGGCGACAAAGGACTAACACGAATCTCCGAAAACAACTACGTAACTGGTGCGTGCTGGAAAAACTCTGCGTGGTCTTGGTATTGAACCGGGGACCTCTCTTTTTCCAGTAGAGAGGTTCCTGGTTGACACCCTGCAGTGGTTGGAAATTTGTGTTTGTGCTTTGTGGCCTTTGTTGGGCTTCTCCAAACGTTTATATAGTTCCTTCTGTTCAGCTCTCCTGCACGCTTGAATTATTTGTCTTAACATGATAACCTTAAAAAGCAGGCCGTTCATCCTTGTTGGTGTTAGACGGGTGGCAGCTAATAAAACCTACTTGCTCTACTGACGTCTAATTCTTGGTTAGCTTAGTTGGTAGAGCGCTCCGCTGGGATCGGAGAGATCCCTGCTTCGATACCGGCACATGGCGGAATTTTTCAGCGCGCACCAGTCACCTAGATGTGCCTCGGTTATTTGTGTTTGTCCTCGCCCATTTGTTCCCCTCCACCGACAGTGTTGCTTGATCAACTTTTGGAAAGTGTCTATTGAAAGCCATGTTGCTGTAATTGGTGTTTGTGGTCGCTATTGCAATAAGATCAGTTCACGCTTTCTTTCTTTTGATTGGCGCTTGAAGCAAGCGCTCTGCATCGTTGCAGCACTCAAAAGATATTTTAAGTGACTTAGAAAATAATTTAGGCACAGTAAGGTAGTCGTTTTATTCGAACTAATGTTTATAGTTGCTTCTAGATGACGCCATAATTTAGAGGAAGAGCATAACATTTCGATTACAGGAATCAGAGGCGCTGTCTCTATGCTGCTGCCACTGCTACCGGAAGAAACACGAAAGCAATTTATGACTGACCTGGAAGACGTTATTCACGAATTTTGGACGGAAAAGGACCCTGCCGATCCTCAGTACCATGTAGACACGTTTGTTATTCATGCGACGAAGCTTTAACTGAAACAAAAAGATGTACCGATTGAATTATCAATACAGCAGGCTAAAAAATGTTGCTGGAGACGTTTCCTCACTTTGGGTTCGTAGTTAAATAAATAAAGGGCCACTGGCTTTTCAATATGTTTGTTTATTTTCTTTTATTTTTAAGCTAAGAATGAAAGTTAGAAAATAAACAATTAAAAACTTGAATTGTGCTATCACATTATTTTTGTCTGGATTTTTGCCCTCGCTCCTCGCTGAATGACCTTGTTCATGACATTCCTGATGTTGTTTTTTTAATCCTCAATGTTGGTGTTAATGAGACTAGAATACAATAATGTTTTAGGTGGTACAATTATGATACAATATAGCTTGTGTTTACTGATATACAGTATGTGGTGTGTTTTGGTTTAGTTTTGATGCCAAGTGCTTTATCTTAAAGAGCGCAAAAAATTTAAAAGGTCATAATTCCCCCAAACGCGCTGCCTAGAGAAGATATTCACCTCTAGGTATATCATTTAGAGAGCTTTTAAATTTAATTTAAATAACTTATCAACAACATCAGAGCCAGAGTCGGGTCATTAATTGCGTCATTATTCAGAGAGCATTAATGAAAATACAATGATAAGTAGTATCGTTCCTTAATGTATCCTTTCTTACTTCAAGTTAGGTTTGCAGACACAATTATTGTGTTCAGAAGTCCTCTCCAGTAAATATATCTCTTTATAAAGCAAACCAAAAACAGCATGCGACATGAACAGAGCTGGACAGAAATATTCTAAATTTGGTTGTTATGATTGTGCACCATCTGGCTGCTATTAATGTTTCAGCGCAATGCATTACATTTCATCACCTATATATTCTGTTTAAAAGTTTCCCATAGGACGCCACTACAAAGCATGCTTCAATGAGTGCGACATCTACTCTATTGGGCTGCACACTGCCACGAACGTTAAAATATACTCCCCCCTTAATATAAATAAAACGCAAAGGCTGAAAAAGAATATATTAATGTTTGACTAATCCTCCCTCAGCATGAGCACTCCTAAATCCAAGGCGCAACCAAAGACAAGGTGCTCGCGCTTGAGCTATTTGTATTATTGATTAAAAATGATTTTAGTTGCATTTGGTAACAATCGTTGGGCGAGGTGTCTCGATATCTTAATCTGGACGTACATTCAGGAAGAAGAGGTTGTCGAACTGAGATTTATATATGAGAGAAGAGGCCTGCCTCATATACTGAATAAATGAGGCTTTGGTAGATTTCCAGTAAGGAGCCGGGGGCCTGCATATGCAGTAATGTCTGGTAAGATATGACGCATGCGTATATCTTGAATTCGGGAGCATTTCCGGATGAGATGTTCTCGGTCGGCCGTCGCTGCCGAGCAGAGAGGGCAGACAGGGGATGATCTGGGGGTAGCCCACCATTCTTTGCGGGCTGGTGCAGTTTTTCTGCCTGTGACAATCGTTCGGATGATAGCAGGGAACGAGAGTGCCGTTTAAAATTTGCCAGGATTTATATCTGGAGAGGACCTTGGCTTTTGCCGGGTCGTGTTCAGGATCATGGACGTCATCTTCCACTTCTGGAGGGCGCGAGTAGCCGTCCCTTTGTATGAGCCACGGCTCCACTCGACGTTTCCATAACACGAGTACACAGTAGGGCTACAAGCTTGCGCTAAAAAAGTTTCAAAGGCGTTTCGACAACAAACCCCACGCTGTTTGTGATATATAAGCCCTGTGAACTTCACTCTGAAGTCACGTGCGCTATAAATCAATTTATTTTCCCCGATAAAGTTAGCTGCGAAATTTATGTTACGTGCACGACCTATACACCTATTTAGCTTAACTGCAAATTAAAGCGGTAAAATTGAAGTCAAGTGAACTATACATTAATTTTGTTTCCTCGTTAAATTTAGCAGGGAATCTTGTGGCGTGTATAGATGGCATGATATCAATTTCCCCACTAAAGTTAGCGGAGAAAGCATTAAAATAAGTTTGTCTTCCCTCGCGGAACGACGGTTCGACATCGTCCGAGCAAACATTCAAACGATCGCTGCTTATACTACAATCCCTGAATTATTAAACCATAGAAACAAATGCCCCAGTCAATTTTGTGTTTGTGTTTGTTGGGGGAGGGGGGGGGGTTGACAAGTGTGCGCGCTCGTTGATTGCCAATAACTTAACAATTCCTTAATATTATGCCGCATTACAAAACAAACTCGATTGTGAAACTTCTTGCTACCGTAGTCAGTTACATAACTAGTTGACTTGACGAGAAAATTGATGAACCGTTCCTTATAAAAGTCAGTCAAACTTTTCCTGTTACTTTAGACTTTTAAATCGACAAGTGTTTCTGCTGGCTTGAAAACGGGCTTTTTGTGTTTCCCATTGTTAAATTAGCATCACTAAATTGGACACTATTTATCATCTCAATGCAGAAAGTTTAGTGGACCAGCCCCCTGTCAGAGATTTGGTTCGAGGATTCCACGGTAGAAAACTTGCAAAAACAAAGCGCTCCCTCACAAAGGGCAGGGAAAAAAGAGTACCGCTTACAAGGAATTTTAGTGCTTTCAAAGATATTAAGATTATTCTTCTAATTACTTTCAGATAAACTGAATTAAACGATAAAAAGTTAGTCCAAAATTTACTCAATATTATATTGCCGCGTGCTTAGGGGTAGCCCAGTGGGCAACGCACCAGACTATCAAGTCGGGCGCGATGTTTGAATATTGCTACCGGCAGATGTTTCTATATACTCCTAAGACATCTAGAAAATTTGAGGCGGTCGCGGTTAGTTCTAGAACAGAAGGTTCTAGTACGGAATGTGCGAGTACAGAATGTTCTAGAAAGAAGAGTGCTAAAAAAGGAGCCCCGTGTGGCCTTATACAGTCAGTCTCTCCCGAGTGCTCGATACTGCTGTTTCGCCGACATCGACACCTGCGACATTAGCCTTTTTTATTTTGTTTTGAGCACATGTTCGCCCCATTTAGCCTTTAATTTCTTCACTTATTCGCTGCCTCATCATTTTTCATTCCTGACAATATGATTTGTTTGCTTCTAACGGGTAACGTGTAAGTTTAGATATTGCAGCACGTATATCGGTTAATGTTCCCCGGTTTCAGCGCAGATTTCAGTTCGTGGTGGAATTCAACCCTTTTTGCTTTCCGCTTAAGGCTGAACTCCATGGAGCGAATTATGCGACGAATAACTGAGGAATGCCGCCCGACGGCACGCTCGCTTTGCGCATGACGTAGCAGCCACTGTGCTGATGCCACGCGCAGAGCAAAAGCCGCCGGGCAAAATTCGTCGATTTTTCGCTGCATATTCGTCCCATGGAGTCTTTACGCTCAATAAAGGTATTTGACTAACAAGGGGTTTTCGATTTAATTGTGAGTTAATAAATTCAGTATGCGAGATTCCACAGCATAATACATCGATACTACAGCCACATTATGCATAAACTAAAAAACAAAAACCTTAATGCAGGACTGTATTTTTTTAATTAACATCCTTATACCTACAGCATGACTTACCCGAAAGGAAACCTCATTTCATGGAATCATATGCGGGTCGTCCTCGTCGATGTGATTCGGCCAGGGCAGACATTTCGTTCTTGCGTCTTCGGCTGGCAACACTGACAACAAACGAATGACCACTCCGTGCTCGGACAATAATGCTCATAATCAATAGAGAATGCCTCGCTCGAGTAATGAAATCCTCCCGTTAGACTTTATTGTGCCTTGGTCGACCTACGCCAGCGAATTGAAGATCAGATCGCTCTAGTGATTCCTATATAATTGAACAATCAGAGCTGCTACCGTAACGTCTTGTGAATACTGACTCCGTTAATATGGATAGCCCTCTTTGTAAAAAAAACATTTTCGGGTATTAACTGGGTTGCTACGTGCAGTTTTGTCGCGTTATAACATAACATTCACACTACGAATGCTTTCTTCGGCGAGCGGTGGTGTTATTAATAACCAGACATCACTGTATCATACGGCATCAAGGTCGAAGCTGCCGGTTAAACTTCATTGATATACAAGATTAACAGAGTCACGTCACTGTTTTGTAATAAAAAATACATGCAGCATATATAAGATAGGAAGGCACGTTTTTCGTGTTTTCTTTCATTTGTACCAATACAAAATTAAGAATATTATGAATGGTGATCAATAAGTTTAACTCCTAAGCTGTAATTTATGTTATTCAGTGATGGAGATAAAATACGTTACATTCAAATAAAAGTTTAGAATCCATTCTTTCCTGAAAGCAGATAACTTATTAATTTTGGTCACACCGGCGGCGATGCACTTTCGCTAACGGTGCACTACTCTCCGCAAGCCATCGTAGGTTATCGAAGACGTCGTTCGGCGCAATCAAGGGCGCACTGCATGAGAAACTTCGTCGTCAGTCGCAAGTCTTGTACCCTTTAGATTTTCCTAGGTCCTGGAAAATAGCCAAAAGTCTGATGGCGCGACGGCCAGGCTGCAAAATGAATTAGGCAACACATTTTGTAACGGCAGCTCCTCCAGCGTGGCGCTCGTCTCGACAACAGCCTCCTTCAATCACCTACACCGGCTTGCGGAGAGTAATGCACCGGTATACCGGCGCACTACTCTCCGCATGCCGTTGTAGGTGGACTATATGGAAAAGTTCAGTGCTCCTGGGAAAGAAGAGATTACAACAGAAAGTTAGGGTGCAAATGAGCTGGTTATGTTGAGCATAATTTAAGCCAAGCCCCTGAGACTAGGGAAACGACGAAGGACAACGCAACAGACAAGATCTCAGTGATGGGGACGAAGCTTGCATCTTGTAGAATTAATGAACAAAAAGTTAGAATACAAACGAGCTGGTGAAGGTTTAACGTAATTTAAGGCAAACCCCCGAGACTGGGGAAACGACGAAGGGCAACACAACACACACAATCTCAAACTGAGACTTTGTGTGTTGCGTGATCTTTCATCGTTTCCCCATTCTCGGGAGATTGCCTTTAAAAAAAGAGGCTCTAAACATTCTTTTGAATGTAGCATCTTTCAACTCCATCATTGAATAAGAAAGTGGGAGCATAGGAGGCAAAACGTATTGATCAAGGCTTATATTATCATACTATATTACACGTAACCCGGAGTTCGTGTC